GTGAAATGGGTCCTGAGGTACTTGAAGGGTACTGCGGATACGGGATTGTGTTTTGGTGGAGATACATGTCAGATTGACGGGTTTGTGGACTCAGATTATGCGGGCGATCTAGATAGACGGCGATCTACTACTGGTTATGTATTCAGGATACATGGAGCTCCAGTTAGTTGGCGATCGATGTTGCAGGCTACAGTGGCACTTTCTACTACAGAGGCCGAGTACATGGCCATGGCAGAGGGAGTGAAGGAAGCATTGTGGTTGTGGGGTCTTCTAGACGATTTGGGGATTGAGCAGGAGAACGTGAGTTTGTGGTGCGACAGTCAAAGTGCGATTCACTTGGCTAAAAATCAAGTTCATCATGCTCGTACCAAGCATATCGACGTTAGGTATCATTTTGTGTGGGATGTCATAGAGGAAGGTGATATTTCTCTCATGAAGGTGCACACGAATGAGAATCCAGCTGACATGTTAACCAAGGTGGTGACAAGTAGCAAGTTTTAGCATTGTTTGGACTTGCTTCATATCAGCCCGTGTTGATCTGCCCAAGAGGGCAATGACAGAACTACGGTTAGCTTGATCCCGGTAGAGGGTACGTAGGCAGCCGCAGTATAGTGGCGCAGCTGGTTTGGCCTGGTTTTGATCTGGTTGGTGTTCGCGGTGTTCTTCTGGTGTTCGTCCAAAATTTAAGATTTATCAAATGATGGACGAGGTGGAGAATTGAAGAGAACTGACCTCAACGACGGCGACGGCGGCAGATCTCAAAAGGGGCTTCGCGGTCGAGGAGAGGCGAGCGGATCTCGCCTGCGGAGCTTGCAGGCGAGGGCTTTTGTGACGGGGAAGCTCGCCTGTTCGAGGGGGCGTCGAGTTCGCCTGTCACCCAATGATTTCGCCTACGGGTGCACGGTTGGAGAACTCGCCTGTGGAGTTGCTCGCCTGCTGGAGAGGCGAGGGCGAGTTTCGTGCTCGCCTGCATTGGGGGTCGAGGAGCTCGCCTGTTCCCTTCGCTGAGCTCGCCTGGGGTTGTGGAAGACAGCTAGATCTAGCTGTCTGCCCTAGAGTTTTCCTATAATAGGGAAATCCTGTTCACGGAGCTGGAGGAGCAAACTCTCAACGATTTTAGAGAGAGGGAGAAGTTTCTGTGGTCCCTTGAGAAGTTAATTTTTCGGTTAAGAAAAATTAGCTACAGTAAGCGGTGATTTGTAAAGAGATTGAGCTGTGATTTTTAGATTAAAAATCACACGCGGTATTCAACTGAGAAATCTCAAGTTTGAGATCTTCTCTTTGCAAGTTTGTAATTTCTTGTGGTTAAATAAGAAATCAATTGTGTGGCTCCCGTGGATGTAGACAAGTTTGCTGAACCACGTAAATCTGTTGTCTCGTCTCATTTACTTATTGTTTTATCTGTGTAATCATTATTGCTTGTATTGGTTAGTTTGAGTTTGGCATAAACTTAAACTAGGGTTGTTTTCTCTCGGGATTAATTTGCTTCCGCGGCGGTGTGGGCGTTTCTCGACCCCCAACAAAAATGATGAAGGTTTATTTGAGAAAACTATCCCTTACGTCAATGTGGATATGTAGTGACAGTCCTTTAAAGAAATTGCATGGTGTGAAATTTTTTGTGATTAAATGTATCGACTATGACTGCCATCAGTTGCTTATGAGTGTCAGATATCAAAGGTGAAAATTTGTAAAATGATCTAAATCAGCTAAGCTAAATTTAGTAAAGGACATGTAAAACATGATCATATGATTGAGCAAACGGCATATTCCTTCCTATGTAATAGTTTCATTTGAGTGGGAATCCCTGCTCACTGCCTCAAATGACAGCTTGTATAGGTTTTTATTTGTGTTCTTCTCTGGCCATAAATTTTCTTCAAGAGAATTCGCGAGAGTCTCATGCCAAACTAGAATTGACATAATGGTTGAAACCATGGTGGCAATTCTTTCCCATGCTACAAACAGCATTAAAGTGTTGCAAGAATAAATTTCAGAAATATGCCAACCAATATAGTGGAAGGTGCAGTGATTTCTGGGAGGGTAATTGGAATAAAGTTGGCCAGAAACTGTCCCACCTTGTCACATTTACTATTTGCAGATGACTCTTTGTTCTTCTTTAGAGCTACTCAAGAGAATCGCATGGAAATTAAAGCAACAAGCATTGTCACACAGGTATAGTGTGACAGCAGCCTCTGTAGTGATGTGTTTGGGACTTGAATTTGGTCTTTTCGGAGGAAAGCGAGATCTATTGACAAACATTAGTGAAGTATGCAACTAGTAATCTTTGAAATGGTTCATATATGTTGCTTATATGTTAGCAATAATGTTGCAATGTACTAGCCTAGTCACTTTATATCTGCTACTTGCACTGACTAGTTTCTTCCAAAATCAATGCTCCTGATCCATGTATTCAAACTTAGATTAACTGCTATCTCAATTTGATGTCTAGGAGATGGATTTGTCAACATGGATGATAACAAGTATGGTGCAAAGTGGAAGAAGAAACCGGCTCACGCAGCAAGCTTTCCTCCTTCCACTTTTAAAGCTGAAAAATATCACTCATTTGACTATGATTTCGGCAATTCACCAAGCATCAGGTTATTTCTGTGTGACAATACTGCATTCTAGAATAATATCTTAAGCCGTCGCATGACTGATATGTTATCTTCATGCAGGACCTTGTTTAGAGAAGACAAAATATCGGACTTGTCAGGTTCTTACATTTCCCTTTAATAACAACTTAAACGTAAGTCAATAGGGGTATCAGATCAGCATCCAAGTATCTCCATTTCCTATTAATATCTCCAAATCCTATTCACTGTAAACACTTTAAATAAGGGTTCCATGTTAGTCCATCACGCAGCTCAAGCTGAAGCCATTTGTACATAGAAATTGTGACTCAATTGCCTGCATTCTTCTTGCGTGCAAAAATAGCTGCATAAAAAAATAAGGCTACAGATGCTCAAGCTGCATTGGCATTGAATATCTATATATTCAAAGGGTAGAAGTACAGTTACAGATATCAGTCAAATAATAAAGTAATACCCAGGTCTGTATGTCTTGGATATGATAAAATCATCTCTCCTTAACATTAATGTTTGTTTATAATCAATTCCATTCAAGCATCTCCATAGCTAGAACAATGACTATTTTTGCAATGGTTTTGTCTCTTGCTACTTGCCTTCCTCAGCTTTCTTGCTCGTAACAAAGCTTAATTGAAGCAAAAAGATTCATGTATTTGCACCAAAAATTCAGGATAGCTGCTGTTTCTACTGGTGCTATCATCATTCTGTCTCCTCAACTTGCTTCCTGTATTGCTCAATACAAAAGATAGCTGTTAAACATCTAGCAAAATTTGTAGTGTAGATCATCACAATTCTTAGTAAATATGCTTTTTTATGTACGTAATGTTAACCGGTGCCATTCTGAATCATTGGACATCAGTATCGTCTGCCAAACATTTCAGAGATTTAACAGCAGCAGACGAATACAGTCATGTATATTTTGATCAAGAAAGGTATCTACTTAATTTACATTTTTATTTTTTTGATTGCTACATTTTATAGCGACCTGTGTTATATATAGGTGTCATTCATTTAATGAGATGGCCACTCCTGATGGCATGTTCTCCCCACCTGATTGGTCGTTCTTGGGGATGGAAGATTCCCAGGATAGTACAAGTTTACTGAGGTAAATGCATCTTTCTCTAAATGCATCTTTCTCTTTGTTTCATCACTAGATTCTTGTAGGCTTTAACGCTTGTGTTTTGTTAATCTTGCAGTGAAGAGTCATTCTCATCCTCTGCAGGTTAATTTTGTAACACTATGAATTTCACTATGCGAAAATACTACTTGTTTTAGAGTTTGCATAAGCAAATATATGCTTATTTTTGCATTTCATTTTTTCCCCATCCAGTGAGAGGTGAAAGAAGCTTTCACTTTGGATATCACCCAGTAAATCTCAAGAAAGGCAAGTTCACGCATGAGCAGAAAAAGTATGATTTAGTTGGGGGATTTTCTCCAGACAAAACAGATCATGCAGGGTTTAAGGAATTTCTCCATGAACAGAAAATAGGAGCAGAAAAATATAGGTACATGGCAGATGAGTGGAATTCTAAAGCCGGTCATTTTTCAAAGCATAAATCTGCATTTCAAGAAAAACTAGAGCCAGATCATGTTTCCTTCTGGAAGGAAGAACATACATCTGCATCAATGGCTTCGGCCCCAAGTTTCTTTGATGGAAACTTTATGGAAATGGATAACGAATCCTTCAGTGACAAGTTGATGTCTGAAGATGACCTTTTCAACTCATTTCCTGTGCCTGAACCATGCCCTAAGACAAAATCCACCTACGAGGGATCCACATTGAAGAATCATATGAACCAAAACTTCATTTATGAAAATGAGAAATGGAAGAAATTTTCAGGAGTTGATATTCCATCGCCTGTAGCATTTCCATGGGAGACTGAAGACAATTTTCTCAATTCATCTTCTCCTAAAGATTTTGATAGAGATTATCAGTTTCCTCGTTTGTCAAAACAGCAGAATATTTTTGAAGATAATAAAGTAGAATACAGAAGAACTCCTGAAAAGCCACAGAACAAAGACTCTGATGAAAAGAATTCTTTGTCTTCGAATGGTCGAACTGGAGACGTTGCAGATAATAAGAAAAACTGCTGTGAGAATGTTGGGTTAAAGGATGAAAATCAGGAACTATTTGATGGTCCACAGACTAGAAATCCTTCTGTTGGAACTGAAGAAGAAGCTCCAGCGGCAATGGAGGAAGTGTCTTCGCAGCTCGAGAGTTCCATTGATGATAAACTGTGAGTACCAATTTCCCCAAGTAGGTCGTTTACCTGTTTGTCTTTTCTTATTTCTTATGAGAGAATTAAGACTAATCACAACCATAGTATAACTTATCTTTTTCCCTATATTGTATTTTTCCAGAAATCGTCATTTTGATAATCATGCACCAGTTCCATCTCAAGTTCCTACTAAAGGTTTTTCATTTATCTCCTTTACAAAATCTAATTTCACAGATACTTCTGCTTCTCCATGTAAAAATCAATTTTTAAAAAGATCACTAAATTCAAAGATAATAGAATTACCTCAAATAAAAATCCTTACTAGTCGCCTGTGTTATTGTTTAATATTGCAGATTTTGCACACGAAAGCTTTGAATCTGACAGTAAGAATGCTGGGATCAAGGGATGTCATAAAGGGGATGCATCTTATCAGGTAATGCTCGAAAGCTATGTTTTTCAACTCCTCTGTGTGCAGAAGGTACTGCTGGGGGCATCAGAGAAGGATATTAAAAAAAAGGTGGGATAGGTGTTGAGAATTTTCTTTCTCCAGACGGATAATAGACTAGTCTTGACTATGATTCATAGTGATGAGTGCAATCAATAGCTTTCATCTCCTTAATGAAACACTGACAATAAAAATAGTTACTCTACAGCCACTGCAAAATTTCGTGGAAAATTGAACTATACAATATAAGTATTTGACTTTTTACTGCTCTTTCAGAGATGTGTGTACTTTTATGTTTCTGCTAGAAAAATATGCTGCTCTAGTATGCATACATGAAACTCGTTGTATGATTATACCTGATGCATAAAATTGGTTAGTTAAAAGTATGAGTTTTCTGTTTTTTCATTAGCGGAACTTGATGACAGTAGAATATAAATCTGATCATCAATCTTGACCATATTTGCTGAGTTATCGATTGATTGTTCACCTCCAAAACATAAATCATTTGAAATGAACGTCAAATATAACGATCTGGTCCAAATAAATTATCACGATTATTTAACTGGAAATCCTTCCGTTATGTGACTGGAAAAAAATTGAGAGATTTTGTTCATTTCCACAATTGCATTATTTCTCCAAAACCTATAACCCAAGGCAAAGCCTTCCATGTAAGTGGCTGTCAATTTTCTGCATATGGTATTTTAACTTCTTGACATCAGACTGCTGAAGGGGCTTCAACATAAACTCTTGGGCTCCATCTTCTAAGCACCTTTAAAAAAAACACACAAAGGTGAACAATCTTCGTGGGGAAAATCCATTGATGTAATGTAAGAATCTAGCAAAAATTAACAACTTAAAATCCTTAAATGATTACTTCTCTATGCGAGTAGGAATATTCTCTGATGACATAATGACAAATGGAATCTCTTTGAAATTTGATGATTCCTGTAGACAGAATTTGTTTCGTTGTAGTAGTTAATATGAATTTATCACTTGTATCAATTATAAAATGCTAGAATTTAAGAAAAACTAACACCTGGTTGTTACATTACCTTAACTTTTTTCATAAGCTCGTAGCCTGTCATCCCAGGCATGCTATAGTCTGTAATTATCAGATTTACCTTTGCATCCTGCAATGAAATTGGGGGAAAACAACGGATATTAAGACTATGAATGGAAAAGGATAACCGATGATATACCCCTACAAACAGTGAATTATCAAATGCCTGTGCAATCTTATCAACAATACTTAGGCGGTATATAGTCTAGTTTAGCCCCGTGATCTTTTCCCCTGCATGTTCCTATGGTTTGCTCATACTCGTGAGACTCCTAACTCTTTTAATCACTGAATATTTTCTCGTGGTTTTACCAATTATTGGGTAACTGATGTCAAAATTTTGAAGCTTTTCAAAATGTGTACACTAACCGTATTCTATATTTCCATGCTAATCTACATCCATCTCAGAGTTTGCTGATCTTGAGTACTAATTATGCAGTAATGTTAACTCATACACCATCTTTGCTCTCATCATTTTGCAAGATTAATTTGGCCTTTGTTAAATTTTTATCACTTATTGTCTAGATTTATGTACAATGTTCTGTTTTGTAGACTTGGAGCATGTCAATTATCAGGTATTTTTCCTTTCAGGGATCGTTTAACTTTTGTTTAAAATAATTTCCACGAGGCTGTTTACTTTTGCTAATTCAGTTAAGGTGTCTTTATAAAGCTGAATAGAGAAAAGGATAGTGAATCCAAAATTTTCGGATAAAAAAGGTTTGTTGTTATTGTTGTTTCTGGTGAATTGTGAAGGATATATGTCATATTGCTTGTTTTAAGAATACATCTTCAAACAAGATTAAATATAAATGTCACATGTTAGTGAATTGTGAAGGAATCCAGTGAGTATTTGAAGGGGAAGGTTACAGTTTAGTCCACATTACTATCTTGGCGGAGAGCATACTGCTTAGCTCCTAGATTTATTATCTTACTGGAGAGTACATAAATGAGAGTATTTAGAAGGAACAGGCGCGTACATTGGTTCTCATTGGGCTAGGTTTTGTCTCTCCTAATAAGCCCAAGTATTCCAATGCGCTTCGCCCATTCTCTGCTGTGGTTACTGCAGTCAATTTAAATAAATCACATATCAGGTCGTTGAGTACGACGCAAATGTTTCCAATGATTAAATAATAAAGATGTACACTTCCAGAAAACAAATTGAGTAGATAGAGCATGGAGTGATGGAGGTCGAGAGAAAATAACTCTCGTTATTGATAATTCTTTAATCTTTAATGCATGAGTACATTTGTTTATATATACTTAGACCTATCTCCAACCCAAAAACTTAAAATGATGTAGGTTTTACATTAATTTGGTGTAGTTTTTATACCAAATTACTATTTCATTTCTAACTCATTATACCAAAAAGAATATTCCTTTTATTATTCTTATTTTTAACATTTTTATCTACTTAAAATATTTAACAAATTATATAATTATATAATTATATAATACATTACATATAATTAATTATAATAATGTGTAAGTTTTTTATGTCCTAATTTAATGTTGTATTTTTTTATCTAAATGTAAATTTGATTTATATTTTTATTTAGTATTACGAAATTTTAAGTGTTTAAATTAAATTATCTATTTTTTCTTTTTGAATTTTATTTTAATAATTATTTTATACTATAATTTCATTATAAAAGTTAAAAATAAAAAATTAAATGGAATAAACTGAGGTTAATAAATGATATAATAGGATACAATAGGTATTTTTAATTTGTTATCACATAGTTTAAGGATAAAATTGAAAAAAAAAACTCTAAAGCTACATTGTTGCACTATTCCTGGCGTAACAATGTAGCACCTCATCAAAATAGTGCAGGGTTTAGCGTTCGTTGGAGGGTGAATTAGCGTTGGGTTTGCGTCAACTTGGGAAAATAGCGCAGGGTTGAAGATGCTTTTAGCAAATTTAATATAGAAAGTCTCAATACTAGGCAGGAAAATAAAGAGCCTATATGCATTACCCAATATAGACAGATGGGCTTATCGATTACAGGAGATATTGAGTAGTATATTATATATGCCCTACTGTATTAAATATACATCTTGGACCAGAAGCTTATTATCTTAATGTTTTCAGTCAAGATTTGCAGATCAAATTAGAAGTCCGGAAGTAATGCAAATGTAAACTTTGAGGGTGAAAGATGAGAAGAGAAAGTAAAAAAACAATTAATATTACAATGAACTTTTTTTAAATTTTAATTAGTTTAGTTAACGCTAATCTAGAGAAATAAAAAAATTATTTAACTTTAACAGAGTATTCTTTTGTAATTTGAGGGTAAGTTAGATTTTCATTTTTTTTAAATTTCGCTTCATTCATATGTGCCCTTGGATTGCCAGTGCGATACCAATAGAGATCCTATAAGAACCATCCTTATAGATTATGAGGTGATCTGCACAAGAGTTGTAATTCCTAAACTAACCTCTAATTACTCATGAATGATATGGATTACCTACTTCTAATTAAGGGTGTTATGATGGAATCTTTACTACTTGTGTGATGCAAGGCGTCCCGTTAGAATTCCTACTCATTGTAAAAGGCCAAATCAACATGAAAAAGTATAGGACTCTTTTTTTTTTTTTTGTCGTCGTCATCATCATTATTTATTTATTTACTTTTCGGCCATCTACAGGAATTGGATTTGGATTACCCAGTCCGATCCCTGACAATGCATGCATAAGATCACCGTGGGCCATGGTATCAATTGGTACCCATAATCACTAGTGGGCCACAGCCCACTTTCACATGGTCCAACCCACTCGTTGATTTTTTTTTATTTATTATTTATCTTCCTTCTCTCGTCCTATTCAAAATTCTAACTAGGAAAAAGAATCGTATAGAGAGCGCCCTACATAAAATATTATTTATAGAACAGAATCTATACTTGTTCCACTAACAATTTTAAATCGTTACAAACAATATACGAAACTAAACGAAAACAAAAAAAAATTAAAATAGTTCGAAAAATCGATATAAACATCATCATCTTAAGAGTTAAGATTAATGGTAAGGCATAAACTTCTTATTCCTGTATGATATGATTTCCTCTGGAGGACCCTGCATATTATTTATTTTCATCAAATACTATAGTTTCTAATTACTGTTTTTATCTATTAATATGTGGACTACATTTTGTGCGAATTGAACAGTGATAACATTGACGTTTATAATTAGTTTTAACGTAATCTTTTGACTACGTCAAATCAAACACGACAGATGTTTACGCAATATTGCAAAAAGAAGGGGAAATAATATTTATTCTAGTGGGCTTGTAAGTACGAAACATGAAAATTAAAAATAATATCATCACATAAAATACCTTTGTATGAAGAATTTTTAAGCAATGCCTCGATGAACTTCCTCTCAATGACATTATCATCCACCGCGAGCACATGCAGCTGCCCTCCATCAAGACAAGATGAAGACCCCATCCTTTCTCCAACCTCTCAAGGGGGAAAAATGATGAACAGATTGATTTATAGATGACAAATATGAAAAAAAAGTATATATATACAAATAAAATCATATAAAAAAGATGATATGGTGGAAGGAAAGCATATATTTCGTGATCCGGTGGATCTCTGTACGATTCAAAAATATTGATTTTCGCCCCCCCCCCCACCATTCCTTG